ACATTAACAATTTTAAGATATTTAAAATAAAGAAAAAAGTCTCAAAACTTCTAAGAAAGAAAATCATGGGGGTTTGGGGGTGGGGAGTACATTTCACAGATCACATGGCAGTCTGTCAGCAAAACTAATAAAGCCAGAAACTAACACCCCTAAATTAAATTATCCTAACGGTTTTCTTCTAAAAAGCTGATTCTGAAAACTGAGTGGAGGTTAAATAAAAACCATGTGGGAAACACCTTCCTGAATCATTCTACAGCAAGAGTAAAGTTCTAACTACTGTTGAGTCAGAAGTTAGCACTGAAAACAAGACACATCAGTGAGAATGAGCGTCAACTTCAACAGATCTGAAGTTCAATTTACATCAACAGCAGTTTTTATTACGACAAAAAGATAAGATACCCCCCAAAAAAACACTTCATCTCAATGAAAACTCAGAAGGAATGAGAATCCATAATGGTAATATAAAATAATGAGTCATAAAATTTGAAAACATACAACTGGAAATGTTGATAAATTTAAGACATAAACCATTAAGTAACTCAGAAAGTTAGAACTAATAAAATATTTTATTAAAATGGTGTGTGTGTGTGTGTGTGTGTGTGTGTGTGTGTGTGTGTGTGTGTACAACTCTACAGGGCTGGGGGTGTGGCTCAGTGAAGGAGCATTTGGCTAGTGTGACCAAGCCCTGAGTTCCAGTCACATAATACCCAAGAGAAGGAGAGAAGAAGAGTGAAGGACAGGGATGGGAGAGCAGAGAGAGACAGAGACAAAGAGACAGAGGAAGACAGAGGAAAAAATTCTGTAAAAACTAGTAATTTTCCCCCAAAACATTGTTTCTTCAGCTACTTCTGGAGTCACGGACTGAGCTGATTACCCATGTTGAAGTCCTTATGAGTATTTTATGATGCTTAATAGAAATTTGTGGGCTCCAGATACCAAGCCACCATGCCTGTGAACGCTGACAACCTAGGTGATGTATCGGAGATGTTCCATTCACAGAGGGAACAGAGTTAACCAACATTAAATGCAACTAAGGGAAAGAACAAGCCTTCCTGAGGTACACAGCACGGAAGAGATAAGCGCCTCCAGTAACAGTGAGTGCTGAGCAATAAGAATGAGGTGCCATCAGTGCCAAGGCCAAACCTTTCCAAGGACTCGGATGAAAACCCCAAGGATATTTGGGACACTAAAGAAAAAATTCTAAAAGCACATGGTTGGAAAAATCCACTCAAGACCAAGGAGATTTTTGCTCAATATTAGAAATGAGGAAAGACTGGTCCTCCAGATATTGAAGCTAATTAAAACAATGTGTTTTGAGTGTAGAACTGTAGAAAAACAAAATGGAACCATAACAGAGCAGAAAGCAGTGCCTGAATCCACCCAGGTCTCTTTTACGTGAGTGGTTAAAAGGTTGTTCTACAGCTGCGTTGGAAAAACCAGTTCCCAGCGCAGGGGAAGTGTCAAATGTTGGCCCCATATCTTACATGGTAATAACTTGTGGCAATACTTAAAAATTAAAAAATACAAATTGCCATAAGCAAAAGTAGTAATAACAGGACAATTATGAATAAGAATGCTAACTTTCTGAATAATATACAGAAAACAGGATTTCCTTTCACATGAAAAGAATACACCATAACCAAATACAACCAGAAATATGAAAATCAGCCAGCATTTTAAAATCTTTTTGGTGGTTTCTGCTCCCATGGTATGTAAAAACAAAGAAGAAATATATGACCACGTTAACTGACGATGCATGGACACTTGGTTAAACCATCAACTCTCTGGATTTCCATAGAGTGCTGGTTAGACTCTGATCTCATATTCAGACAATAAATCACGACTAAGACTTAGAGTTTTCAGGTACTCATCTGTAGTAGTTCACAATACACTGCTGTATTATAATGATGCTTCAGCCAGCATTATACACTCTACTATGCTAATGAAGTGGCCCACAGATCTCAGCTTACATAAACTGAGAAACCATGGAAGGGAACATGATCTGACAAAGACTGACTCAACCAAGTTCAGAATCCAGAGATCAGAAATGAGTTCTGCCATTGGTCTGTCACTGGACCTCAGTGTACTTCTGGTATCTCAGTGTCCTCATTTGTGTAAGGGAAGGAAAGTCCAACCTGCCGCGGCCTGCCACAGAATAGCAGCTATAGGAAGGCCTAGAAATCTAACAAAGTTGTGAGAAGTCAAATCCCTGAAGGTGGACCACACAAGTGAGTTCCAAATTTTCACTCCCTCTTTTCTCTCGTGGTCTTAACCTGGGGACAAGTTTCATGGTGTTGCAAAAGGCTGAGAAAAATCCCCATTTCTGGGAATCCTGGGGAGAAGGGCCCCTCCTACTCTGACTTTGGCTCAGACAGGGGCTGCCTCTGGGCAGCTTATCTGACCAGAATGCCAGCAGACACCCCTCTGGCTAGATTCTTGGGGGTGATTCTGGAGAGGCTGCAGAAGGAAGCTCCCAATTCTGTGCCAAAGGCTGGAGGTCTCAGGTCACTGCCGTGCTGAAGAGGGGTGGTTCCAAAACAGCCTGTGTAAGAGATCATTTGAAGCCTACCCACACTAGAGATAGAAGAGTGGCCTGAACCTGGGTTACAGCAAACTGAAGCAAAAGAAGGAAAAAAAAAAACCAAGAAACCCTAAGGTTTAAGCAATGCAAACATAAAGCCATACCCTAAAAACTTAAGTCAATAAATACATACATCTAAAGATGTATGATCAGTTCTCATAGGGACTGTGATACCAATCGCGAGAGCCTGGGCCCGAGACAGACATGAATGCAGTTACAGTGACCACCCTCTGAGGTCACAGGGACACTTGGGACGAAGATAAAGATTAAACATTATTTGACAGAGGCATGAAAGTTTCAAGAGGAACCAAATGGAAATTTTAGAACCAAAAGTGTAAATATCTGTAATTAAGCAAAGTAGCTCAGAGAAAACTGACCCAGGAGATGGCAGCAGAAAACATCCACTAAGAACAGAAAGATTGGGGAAAAGTTCAACCCACTCCAGGGCCATGTGGGGTAACATGGAGATGTCTTCACCTGCACTGTGGGATTCCCAGAAAGCAGAACGTGAATGCCACAGAACAGACAACAAACAAACAGAAACCTTGCACAGCAGTGGTAGTAAACTCTAGTGAAAGACTAGGATTTACAGATTCAATCAGTTCTGCCCAGCCCCACACATCATAACCAGACTGCTGAGACCTAAAGATGAGAAACCTTTACAGTGGTTACAAGGAATCCCTGCTGAAACTGCATGCAAAGTAAGAACTTAAGGACACACGGTGAGAAACTGGAGAAGAGAATGTCATTGTTCTCATTATGGTTCCTGTACTAACCCTCAGCACACTCCATGAACCATTTACATCACACTGTCCTAGCTGTGTGCCTCAGAGGCACCTGGTCTAGTGTTGAAGAAAGGGTGTAGCAGGATCAGCTAGACTCTTTGTTTATCTCCTCATCTCTGAGCAGAAGCCAGGTCTGCTGGAGGATGGCATACAAAGACTGGGCAGGCTCATGACTCTCACACAAGGCCAGGTCCTTCCTCAGAGTTTCTCAAAGTACTTGGTCAACCCTGAAGGAGGCCTCTCGGACTTCAGAGTTCTCTTTGTAGAGGGAATGCGCAAGGAGAAGGGGAAACAATGGAGCCAGGGCCTAGTCTGGGTTCTGTTTGGTGTTCATGGGAAGGAGGCACGGTCTTACTTCTTCTGTGAAATGGGTTTTCTGGGCATCTTGGCAGCATGCACACTGATGGAGGGAGGAAGAAGATTTGAAAGTGGAGTTGTAGATGGAAACACAGGATGGAGAGCCATGGGTACTGGTGTGGACTTGCTGGTCTGAGCCAGAAAGCTTGTTAATTCTATTGTCTTCTCTAGAAAAGGGTGTTATCAGCTGAAGTCTTCCAGCCTTCTCACCCTTGCTACTGTTTGGCTTGAGGGCTGTGACCTGGACACTCAGTCTTTAGTATGGTGCCACTGAGAGCCAGCCACCAGGAGGTAGGGCTTAGGGGAAGTAACTGTATCACTGGAGGATGAGCCTTGAGGAGATTAAAGTGGCTCTTGTAGGACCCAGACTCTTTCCCAACTTGCAGGACCCAGACTTTTCACCAACTTAACTGTATGAAGATGGAGCCTAGCAGTTGACTATCTGGGTCCCATCTCACCATGTGGCCTCTGCTGCTGTGAAGCTGTGTGTCACATCTGATGTCTATATAGACACTAGCATATAGTCCTGACTCTCCAGAAATGTGAGCTAAATAAACCTCACCTCTTCATAAAGTACCACTTTGTTTCTTTTTCCAATATACCTATACCCACATTCCTACAGTGCTTCCCTCATATGAACCATGCCTCAATTCTCAGAAACAGCATGCAGGGACACAAATGCAAGAAGATAATTCTTTGTCCTTCCCATGTGTCATGATAACTATGAACAAATGGCATGTGCCTGTCACCAATGGTCTTCATGTGTGCTGTGGGATATGGTGAAATTCCAGAGAATGCTTGTGAAAGCTGACATTTCCCATACTCGATTAAAATTTCCTTCTATTGATTTGGTGCCACAATTTTCCTTTCCTGTTCCCATCCTTGATAATCACACAAGGTCACATTTCAGGCTCCTATCTCCCTTGTGAAATGTTTACAGCATTTCTGAAATCTCTAGTTTACAAAATAAATCCAATTCAAATAGGTGAAAACACAATCCCTGAAGAACCTAATTTACCAATATTTTCCTCCAACTCAGCAGATGGGGTTAACATTCAAACACAAGGTTCATCTCAACATGGTCTAGTCATTTAAAACATTTCACCAGTGTCAGGAAATGTCATCAGAAGTCACTGCAGAGTGAGCCCACAGAAGGGCCCAGATGCAAAGATCAAGCTAAAATTAAGAGAGAGCTGTTAGATGAGTGATGGACTGCTGAGACACTAGGGTTACTCAGGAAAACAGACTTTGAAATGACATTTGTGGAGTCTCCTTACCTGTCCTCAGTTAGTTTCATTAAGGTTGTCCCTCGAGTAGAGAAGACAATGAAGGACATCCTTAGCTGTGGGCTGGAAAAGAGGGAAACTCTGTTAAGTCAGACAGAACATTGGTGGCATGTCAGTCCCTTCCCAGCTTCCTTCCTGCTTTGTATCATAGCTCTCAGAGTCCCAGAGGGTATGGCAAGAGTTTAGCCAATGGCCAACTTGAAGCTCTGAACCAAAGGTGCCTGCTGTGTCTCCCTTCTGTTAGGACACTGTCACAGAGTGGATATATCACAGTAAGAAAGATTAACTCTATCCCAACTCAAGACTGTCTACAAAGTGTCTTTGAGATGGGGAAACCTGTCACATTAGTATGAGAGCATCTCCAAAAGAAGGGAGTATCTCAGAAGACTCACTGCTCACTTAGTTCCTTCTCGGCTGCCTCTGAGGGAAGAGGGGCTGCTGGACCACAGAGTCTCTTCTGCTCAGTGGCTACATGGCTTAATTGGTACTCAAAAGCTTTCAGTGTGAAATTCACTCTCTGGGTAATGGGGCAGTCTCATCTGAGGACTGGCAAGAAGCACCAGTAATCTGCACAGGACTTGGCAACTCACTGCCATCCTGTGGGCCCTCATGGGGAGGCCAACTGGTCAACCAGCATAGCACCAACCTGTGTCTTCACAAGGCACTGACCTCACAGAGCTGAGCTGGCTCTGATTCTTGTACACACAGACCTCTTTTCATCACTTAGCTTTGGGCCTGAGTCTCAATCACCTGACCATCCCAGCTGTCTCCTAGCATCAGTGCTGACTCTGCTGCAGTCTCCATGCCACTCCCCAAATTACTTATGAAACATAAATAGGTCTGCTATAAAAGCTTTGCCTACTCTTAGGATGAAACTTCCATTACTTCTATGTGCCTGACATATCTTTGATTGGAGTTTTTCTGTGACTGTTTTAGCAGAGTGGAGAAGCAATGGAGCAGGGATGAGGGAGCCAGCAAGAAAGTAGAAGTTAGAAGAGAAACAAAGACATCCAAGAGTCTAGCGTCAATGGCATGGGATGGACAAAGTAGGAGAATGGCCTTAAGCAAGGGAGGCCAGCTGGCCCTCATGGATGGCAGGAAGGACATGCATGCAACCCTTAGGAGCAGGACTGGGTGCTGAGGGAACATCTGTCTGCTTCCTTCTAGGCTCTCAGTGACCAGGAAATGGGGTTATTTTCTGAGAGTGATGGACATGAGTATTAGTCTGGAGTCCAAGGAAAGGGTGAAGAAAAATAATTGTTCTTAGGAAGGTAAAGAAGTCAGAATAAATGAATATTAAAGGATTTCAACTCAGAAGGATCCTCTGCAGTCAGTAGTGACATATTTATGATAGCATCAACTACTGTTGCTGTTTAGATTCCCTCTACTCCACAATATGCTATTTAAGGAATAAATAAAATCATCCATTCAACATTTTGAGAAATTCCCACCGATTTCCATAGTAGCTGTATCAGTTTATGCTCCAACAACAGTATTCACAGATTCTCCCACACATCTTCACCAGCATTTGTTTTCTTGGTAATGGCTATTCCAACTAGGATGAGATTGAGTCTCAAAGAGGCTTTGATTTGTATTTCCCTGATACCTTTTCTGATTTTTGAGATCTCTTTGTTCAATTCCATTTTTCTTAGTTTTTTCTTGATGATTAATTTTTGAGGTTTTTTTTGGTATGCTTTTGATGGTAATCCTCCTTCAGACCTGTAGCTGGCAAAAGCTTTATCTGATTCTATCAATTGCTTTTTCACTTGACTGACAGCTTCCTTTGCTGTTCAAAAGCTTTTAATTTCACAAGGTCCCATTTGTTAGCTATTTGCCTTATCTCTTGAGTAACTAGAGTCCTGTGCAGAAAGTCCTTACCTACGCCTATGTCTTGTAGTGGTTTCAGAGTTTCAGGTCTTCAGTTGAGGTCCTTGATCCATTTGAAGTTTACTTTTTTTCAGAGTAAGAGATTTGGATCTAGTTTTATTCTTCAACATGCAGATGATCCAGTTTCCCCAGAATCATTTGTTGACAATGCTATTTTTCCCTGCACTTATTCAAGACTGTACCTGGCACTGCTAACAGCCCTTGAGCTGTTGCAGAAGCAAAACTTGATGGCAGTCTTGGCCCCTGCACACAAGGGTCTGCTATGGTCTGGTTATGAAGTATCTCCCTAGAAAACTTATGTTTTGAAGCTGATGCAAGCAATGTTCAGAGGTGGGGCTTCAGAGAATCAATTGGGCTGGATCACACGATCCTACTTCAACATTTGAACAGTCTGTGAAGGGATAGGGAAACTGTGGAAGGTGGAATAAGTGGGTACTGGGGGCATTCCCTGGAAGTTCTATTAGGTCTCCAGCCCCTGCCCACCATGAGGGAAGCAGCATTGCTACACCACATGCTTGGCTGAGGAAGCTCTACCACACCATAGTCTGGGAACAGTGAGTTAGCATGGCACGAAACCTCTGCAATTATGAGCCCAAACAAACTTCCCTCCTTCTAGGCTGTTCTCCAGGAGTTTGTCACAGAGACAAGAAGTATGACTGCCACAGAGTCCATAGCCAAGGAATCTAGACGGGGGAGACCACAGGAGAGCACCTTGAGGTCTAAGAGTAAACCTTGGAGATAGATGTTCCTGATTTTTTCTTTCTTCATCTGTAAAGCAGGGGCTGGGGTAAGTGGTCTCTCAACAGCCTCACCTGTGTCTTTGATTTTAATATAGTGAAGAGTTTGGAGCTGCTGATGGGCTTGGTGGACAGTGCTGGGGGCCCACTTCTACACAGATATTGGGCAATTGGGTGTGTACACACATGTAATCTTTGTATGTTCCTTTCATGACACCTCAACTTCAGCCAAGGTTAAGCCAATGGCTAGGGTTGCACAGGAAGCTTGGATTCAAAACTTATCTCTCCCAACTGGATCCTTCCCCCCTGGTTCCTCTGCTCAGGGAGAAATGAGGACAGCAAGCGGAGACAGAGCAGAAGCTGTCAAGGACTTGGATGTAGATTTGCCTACGTCACTTCAAAGGGTCACTGGGTATGAGTGCAGGTTAGGATGTTTGGCTCCATAACAAAAAAGGCTTTAAACGGAAATGATCCAAAAGGCAGAAGTTTCTCACCAAAGTGTTTCAACATGAGGCTCTTGAATGGCTCTCAAGATAGACTAGGAAGTCTCTCCTATCAATTCGAAGTTCAATGATCTGTCTAAATGTTGTGTAACATCACACATAACCTGTCTCTCCCATCTGTAATTCTCCATGTTTTCCTCTCAGTACCCACTTTCCTAAGTCACCTGGGTTTAGGTGATTCCTGTAGCAGATTCGATGCCACCATTCCTTTCCTGTAAGGGAGGTAAGAATCTGTTGCTTGATAACTAAGTATGGGAGGAGACTGTGCCATTACCCTGGGCTCAGAGGACCCTGTACTATAGAAATGGACCGAAGGGTTTTGGCTCACTCACATTGGTCTCCATGGAAACCATCTACCACCAGCGAGACTGCATCAACACCCACAATGACCTTGGCAATGTGCTGCGGATGCATCCATGAATGCTGTGTGATCCCACAGTATGATGTCACCTCCTTTACTAATGGGTGTCCTTAAGTAGCACCTCCACAGTTCATAATGAGTTGTTCAAACCCATCTGGGAAGAGGAGGTCAAGCCCACAGAGAGAGGATGCAGGGGTTATGTGACCAGCCATGGCTTGCTCAGGGCTGTGGCGTATTCATATTAAAACCTGAAGGTTTGTAAGTATATTGGCACGAGCTGGTCACCTGGCATTTTATGACACCTTACTCACAAGTCTGCTCAGTGTGCACTCCCACAGTGTCTGGGAGTTATCAGAACAGTAGAAGGGCTAGACTCACTATCAGCAGTGAGAGAAGGGACTCCGGAGTGACACTCACCTGATGAATCTATGAGCCAGCTGCTCCACGAAGTAGTAGATTTCATTCCAGTGGTGCAGCACGCTTCCTGACCTATGAGACAAAGCAGCCTCCTGTTAGCACTTTGTGCCGTTTCTTTTCAGTTCTGTGCAGAGCAATCCCAATAACTGGGTTCGTTCATTACATGAAACTAGTGCAAATTTGGAAATTATCTAAAAGGCTCTTTTAAAATTTTTGAAGAATTCCTCCAACTCCATCTCCCATTGCTACCCTGCCCTCCACTCCAAACTCTTAACAATGAAGCAAGCAGACAAAAAAACCTGGGGCCCAAACAGATCACAGGCTGGCTCCAGGCTCCAGGTCTTGATGGCATTGTTACATTTGTGTGCTCCTCTAAGAGACCCTATTCCAACTCCACTGAATGAAGTTAGCAGAATGACTGGCGGTTTGAATGAAAATGGCCTCCATAGGTCCACAGGGAGTGGTACTATTAGGAGCTGTGGCCTTGCGGGAGGAAGTGTGTCACTGGGGGTGGGTTTTGAGATTTCAGATGCTCAGGCCAGGCCCAATGTCACACTCTCTTCCTGCTGCCTTTAGATCCAGATATAGAACTCTCAGCTACTCTCAACCTGTGTGCTGCCATGTTTCCCTGTTGTGATGAGAATCATAAACCAGCCCCAATTAGATGTTTTCTTGTTAAAGTTCCATCACTTCTCATGCTGCCCCAGGAATGGCCACTAAACCATGAGCCCCAGGAAATCTTTCCAGTGTGTCACATTAACATCAGACCTCCTTTAGAAACCGGGCCACGAGAGAGTGGAGAGTCAGGCTCTGGAGAGAGGAGCCCTTCAGTACACACTGTGCAAAACAGGGTTTCATACCTAACAACCCTAGCTGAACCCAAACTCCAATTCAGGAGGCTGACCTGCCACAACCCCCCCCCCCAGCCCGCAGCACTCATAGCTTACTGTCCTTCCGCCTCCCTTCTGGAAAATGCCCAAAGGGAACCCGGGGGTGGGAGTGAGGGTGGCAGGGGGCTCCTGCCTCTCCAGTAGTACAAAATGCAGATTCTTTGACTTTGCAGGCTGCCTACTGTGCCTCTGCCCTTGGCCTTTTGGCTGATTTTCCAGTTTGAAACTACCACAGAGGCTGGCCACTCCCAGCATAACTGACCCCTGGTAGCTCAGAAGTGGTCACTCTCTCTTAGAGCTCAGACGGATCCCAACAAGGAGAAGGCAGGTGTTGGCTGGGAACATGGCAGCGCGCATTCAAATCAGCTTTTGTCCACCCAGCTGTGTGTTGTTCATCACACACTGGTCTGGTTAAGAGTTGGTACCTAAATCCCAGCCGTGTTGGACTAACCTAGCTACTGCTATCCATGTTACAAGGTAGAAACAAAATCTTCCTTCTAACCTCAAATATAAACAGTACCAAAAGACGTTTTCTGTCAGACTTGCTGGGTTTGAGTGGCTGGGGACTAGTGAAGGGTCTCTTCTCAGCATTTTGTGTGTCTATTCTGCAAGTACAAATTTCATCAAAATTTGGAATTAAAATAACCTCCCAGGAGTTCTGCCTGGAGGCAGCATTGACAGAATTCTCTGTTGGAGATTCACTTGATACACTTGGGATCCATTCAGAGCTGAGATCAGTGTCCTCTTCCAGTATGGGTTTCCGCAAATGGGCTCACCATCCCCTGGGGAGAGAAGCCACCGACGTCCACTCTTAGAGAACGATCAAGGCTCCTTATTTACTTTTGTTTTTCTAGTTTGTTTCCAGCATTTGAGATATGCTAAGAAGTCAAGAAATATTTGACATCGCCCTCCGTGGGGGATTCTATATAGAACAACCTGGAATTGCTCTCAGGTGACTGTTCAGTCACTTCCAAGGTGTCATAGGCAAAGAGGGGGCAAAGGCAGAACCTCAAATTTTATCATTTGTTTTCTGAACAAAACTGCATTCTTTTCTGTTTCTGAGAATTTCTAACCCCCCTGTGGTGAAATGACTTAGAAAACACATTTTCTATACAAGCAACCAAAAGATAATGAAAGAGGAGAGCAAGCAAGCGTCTGGCTGAACCCACCACCAGCAACCGCTTCCCCGGGGAGGGCACAGTAACTAAGATAGAGATTACAAAATGGTCAGGCCCCACTCATCCTTAGCCCCACTTGACTTAAGACACTGATGCCAGTGACCTTCTTGGGGTGGGTATGGATATGTTCAGTAGACTTCAGGGACATTGGGTGGACCCAAAGTTAGCGCCAAGGCCACTTGCCACTTGTACTCTTTCCCAGCCTCCCCGCCTTCTCCTCTCCTCTTCCTAAGAAGCTGGAGCCCATTCCAGCCCAGGCCTTATCCGTTGCTTTCTGTGGCCACAGCCAAATCTCCCTCCCGGACCTTGTTGACTCTTGATTGCCCTTCTTCAAACACAGTTCAGATCCAAGCCCTGTCACTGAACATCTTTCTGTGTCCTTTGTCCGGGGACACCCATCCTGCTCCTCCTTCTAGTGCTGTGAAGCCTCTACCAGTCGTGATGTTCTCTTCTACGCCACATGACTTCCCCTTAGTCAGTCCAACCGATGGCTTTGAAAACAATGACGTGTACACTGCAGAATGCACTTAGGGAGTTGGGAAATCAGCTAGTGGGATACTGCCAGCTTTTTTTCTTCCTCAAAGAAATGAAACAAAATAAGATTGAAAAACCAGAATGTGCTGTTGAAAGTAACTGAAAACAGTGCTGCAGGGAACTTCTGGTGGATTGTAAGCATCGTGCGGGCGCCACGTTAGGATATCAGGGTTTTCTGTGGATCATGATTCAGAAGATATCTTAACCAGAGAGGCACTCCCTTTCCCTCCACTCTGCCTTTCCAACACACACACACACACACACATACCCCACACAGACTCACATACACACACACACCACACAGACCCACACAAATATATGCACATAACACACACTAACATGTCTGTATACACATACACTCAGACATGCATGCACATACACTACACACACTCATAAGCACCCACGCATGAATGTACACACATATGCACACAACCAAAAAAGCTTACACACATTTTCTTGACATAAGCTCTTGGTACTTTTGGCACAGACTCAACACAAAAGTGACATCCTTGTTAATTAAGACAGAAGTATTAAATTGTCTTAAAAGGTGTTTCAGTGGCCAAACTTCATAGTCCTGGATCCATTTCTCACACGATTCAGGTTCAGGGATGATTCCGTCAAGAGTTGCAGTGATCCCCCAGAAGGCTAAAATGGGATGGACCAATGTCACTCAAAGACTGCTACTGTGGTATGTTGTCTCTTGTGAGGAAGTGGCATATACTGAGCGTCCACAGGGCAGGACTTTAAAATACAACATCATCAAAGCATCACTGTCAGAAATGCAGGTGTGGAAGATAAGCAAATGGTAGATCACCACAAGGTTCATTTCCTACCACAGTCAGACACAGGCACTGCCCACCATACACCCCCACAGTCAGGCACGGGCACTGCCCACCATACATCCCCACAGTCAGACACGGGCACTGCCCACCATACACCCCCACAGTCAGACACGGGCACTGTCCACCATACACCCCCACAGTCAGACACGGGCACTGCCCACCATACACCCCTACAGTCAGACACGGACACTGTCCACCATACACCCCCACAGTCAGACACGGGCACTGCCCACCATACACCCCCACAGTCAGACACGGGCACTGCCCACCATACACCCCTACAGTCAGACACGGACACTGTCCACCATACACCCCCACAGTCAGACACGGGCACTGCCCACCATACACCCCCACAGTCAGACACGGGCACTGCCCACCATACACCCCCACAGTTAGACACGGGCATATATATATATATATATATATATATATATATATATATATATATTCTCCCCACTGTTAGACATGGGCACTGCCTTGCTCTCTTCACATATGACCACATTTTCATTTCCTTAAATAACATTGCCCACATCATCTGTCATGTCCGCATCTTCTCCATGCAATACAAATATCAGACAGTAATAGAATCTCTTCACTTTGCACACTGGCCGGTTTCCATTCCTTTTCATTTTTATAGCATCAGTAAGTTGAGCATTTTTATACAATGTCCTTTACACATAACGGAAGATGTGAATTTTCTTTCTGCACTGCATTTCTTTCTGCAATTGCACAGGAAGTGATCCTCTTTGCATCACTTGCTTAAAAAATGTGCACCTGCTGGGCAGTGGTGGCTCACACCTTTAATCCCAGCCCCCGGGAGGCATAGGCAGGTGGATCTCTATGAGTTTGAGCCAGTCAGGTCTACAAGAGCTAGTTCCAGGACAGTCTCCAAAGCCACAGAGAAACCCTGCCTTGAGCCTCCCCTGCCCCCCAAAAAAACGTGCACCTGAGAGAGGCAGTTTGATGGAGCCTCCCTTTGTTCCTTGAGAACCTCAGAGAAAAGAAGGGCAGATGCTAAAAAGGAGGAGTTATGTTGGGTCTAATGGGGGCAAGTGCCCTTACCCTTTATCAGGCACCCACCTCACGGTGTTAGGCAGTGAGACAAGAGAGGGTCAAAGATTTCATTATAGTTTAAATAGTTAGTAACCAGAAAACTTTAGAAATGCTTATTGTTCCCTTGATTTCCTTTGCTAGCAGTTAGGACTAGTGCAGAACGAAAACTCAGGGCCCTTGTTGGAAAGTTACTAAGAATTTCAAGATGGTAATAGCAGACAGAGCATGTGGCCAAATGCTAGCCCTTCTCACCTAGGGCACGGGTCCCAGCCACACAGGCAAACATCCAGAAAGCCACCTCACTAATGATATTCTTTGCACATTCCTACTGGGTTTCAGATGATTTCTTAGTTAGGGGCCAGCTAACTTTTTCTGTGAAGAGACAGAAATTAACTATTTTAGGCCCTCTGGGGGGGGTGACGTATGTTCTTCATGTCAATGACTCATTTTGTGTGTGTGTTTGTGTGTAAGCATAAAAGCAACCATCAAGTTCTAACAAATGAACATGACTATACTACAACGAAATTTTATTTATAAAAATAGGGACTATGCCATAATTTGCCAACTTCTGCCCT